GGAGCCATCTCATTACAAGTCATGAAAAGTTAATTTCTGTTTTACTATAAATTACTGCGATTTCTAAACTTGCTTGGAATGCCTGCCCATGCCTTGAACTCACCCACGCCTGGCTTTTCCTGACCAGATAACAACCCTCTCTGAAACCTTAGTGGTGCCTCATAAATTCTGGTGTTGGGATCTAAATTTACTCCCTAACTTGAAATGTTGAACCATTTAGATCATTAATCTACTATCTGCCTTTGTATTATGCTTGTCAAAATCCTGTTATCTGTAAGTTCTCAAGACACCTTCCTTTTGCAACTTTTTGTGCTATAAAACCATGCTCCTAGAGAGCTGGGGTACTATTATCTAACCCAAGGATTTCGGGAGAGACAGTCCTGGCTGGGCGGAATTTACAAGCTTGCGTTATTTAATTTGACTTAAAATTGGAGTTGGTGGTCTTTTCTTTGTGCTGTGGTTTAACACTTTACCACTGAGCTACTGAGCTATACCCCCAATCCAAAGATGAGGTTTCTTAGCCTTGTTGTTACTTGGAATATGTATACATTCTTTTTTTCCTATCTTCCCAGTATGCCATAAGTTTGGATTCTCTTGATATTTGTGTGTACATATAATGAGTTGTACCATGAAGAAGTCTCTTTCTTACACTTTTTTCTTCTTTGGAATTGCTCTGCTTTTTTGCTTGACTTCATTTTTCATTTATCCAACATTTATTTATCCCCAAGCTCTGCCAAAGGAGTACATCTATTCTCAAGACCTTCAAACATCTTTGTTTTTGGAATCTCCTTCTGCCGCCAACCCTCTCAGTATCATCCATCCTCCACTGAATTCTGAGTTGGCTATTCTCTGGGTCACCTGTCTAACTGTTCCACTAAGATCGCCTGTCACCCTTAACCCAGCAATCTTTTCACTTGTCTCCTGAGTGGACTCTCATAATCCCAAGCTTTTCCCTGTTTTAGTCTGCTCTCTCTAATGAAGCACTTTTTCCAGTAACTTCGCATGAAAGATTGTATTTGGGTAAATTTCTTGAGATATTTTCTGTTTGAAATATTTTTATCATATCCTTATGCTTAGTTGATAGTTTGGGGAGGAAACAGACTTTTAAATTGGGATTCATTTAACTTTAGAATTTTGGACTCATCATTCAATTATCTTGTAGCTTCAGCTGAAATATGGATGCTTTGTGTTGACCTTGTTTTCCCTAGAAATATTTTATTTATTTATTTATTTTTAAACTTTTTTTTAAAGAGACAGTAAGAGAGAGAGAGAGAGAGAGAGAGAGAGAGAGAGAAATTTTTAATATTTATTTTTTTAGTTTTCAGCGGACACAACATCTTTGTATGTGGTGCTGAGGATCGAACCTGGGGCTGCACGCATGCCAGGCGAGCGCGCTACCGCTTGAGCCACATCCCCAGCCCCCTAGAAATATTTTAATGACCACCTTGTTTTTTTATTATTGCATTTCTCATTGTAGGCTTATTTTCAACCCCTGTGCTAAGCACACAGTGAGCCATTTCAACCTGCAGGCTCATGTTCTTCATATACTATACCCCTGATGCTCTGAAGTTCTTAATCAAAGGGTGTTAAAGTTTGGATCTTGAATGTCCCACAAAGGCCCATCTGCTAAAGGATTGGTCCCCAGCCTGTGGCACTACTGGGAGATGGCAGAGCCTTTAGAGGGTAGGGCTAAGTGAAAGGAAGTTTTGTCCTTGGGGATGTCTTCTTGAAGAGAATAGTGGAATCCTAGCCCCTTCCTGATTCTCTCTTTGCTTCACAGGCACCTTGAGGTGAATAAGCTTCCTCCACAATGCACTCTTGCCATGATGTACTGTGCTATAACAGATCCAAGGTAACAGGGCAAGCAACCATGGACTGAAACCTCTGAAACTATGAACCAAAATAAACATTTCTTTCTTATCAGTTGATATTCTCAGGTATTTTGTAAGAGTGATGGAAGGCTGACCAACACAGAGGGGCTTTTAAAATTTTTTATTTGTTCTTTTTAGTTAGACATGACAGTGGGATGTATTTTTGACATATCATACATACATGGAATACATACATACATGGAATATAAGGTCCCATTTTTGTGGTGGACATGAGGTGGAGTTACACTGGTCATATATTCATATCTGAACATAGAAATGTTATGTCCAATTCATTCTACTGTCTTTCCCATTCCCATCCCTCTTCCCTTCCCCCCACTTAAATTTTTTCTTTTGCTGGTTATATGTCCTATAAATTTCTTTTATTCTTGTTTGATTTGATTCTGCTGGTTCTTTATTTTTTCATTTTTAATGATATAACTATTTTTATATCTTTATTTCATTTATTTATTATTATGGAGTGCTAAGGGCCAAACCCAATGCCTCACATGTGTTAGGCAAGTACTACCACGGAGCTACAACGCTCACCCCCAAAACCTACTGATTCTTGCCTGACTGCTCACACCTTAGGATAGAGCAGACAGTAGGCTCCGCATGTACGGCATGAATTATAGGCTTGTGGGAGTCATTAGGGATGATCTTTCTGGCTGGGCTGTATTTTTTGTTCTTTTTCTTTTTGGTACCAGGGATTGAACCCAGGGGCTCTTAACCACTGAGCCACATCCTCAACCCTTTTTATTTTGAGACAGGGTCTTGCTAAGTTGCTTACAGTCTCACTAAGTTGCTGAGGCTGACTTTGAACTTGTAATCCTCCTGCCTCAGCCTCCCAAGCACAGGTGTGTGCCACTGCACCTGGCAGGGCTGTATCTTAAAGAACATTAAAATTAAAGAACATAAGAAATTAAATACATATGGATGTCAATATTTAAGCTAATCACATTATAAGTGCTTGTACATGTTACGAATAACTGTAATAAACTAACTTACTTATAAGGCTATAGTATCATCCTCTTCTTTCTCCTAAAACTCAAAAAGTTAATGACATCATTTTAGATACA